GGGAATCGTGTTTTCACAACTAAGAGTCCTACATCCCATGCAGTACCCGGGTGCCCGGCAACGCCAACATCGTGGATGAAGAACTCTGCTGCGCCACAGGGCGTGATCTGCCCGAATACCACCTCGGCAATCATTTTTCAGATCCTGAAGTTCTTCATATTGCGCTGACATGCCCCTTGTGGTGTAGGATATCTAGTGGCCACAGATTCCTATACTGTAAGTGCTGTCTTATCCTGAGGAAAGTCAAAGTCCACATCGGCTCCTGATTCCACGGCCTAGGGCTTGTGAAGATTCACAGGGTTAGCACGGGATTCAAAGGAGACCTTACAATGCACAATCATGCTTTCTAGTAAACCTCGCTGAGCGGTGTGGACTATATGGACAACACAAAATCCTGCTCTCTTCCCATGACCTTATGCAGATGTAAAACCCTGCCCAGAACCCGGCGATCCTTTCGGGGTTCTTCCACCTATCTGTCCTGGTCCCGAGCCATGTCTAATCAGAATTCTCACGATACTGGCTAATGAGGTGAGAGCACTCGCCCAAACAGTAGTAAAACGAATCATTTTTGGAAAATAAGCCACGCAAATGCATCTGATACAACAGCCAAAACAGTCACGCTAGCTACCGTGGTGCTGCTGACGAAACTGTGATTCACATGGAACAGAAGGCGGTTCCAAAAATCTTGGACAACAAGGATGCTTCAATAGTTGAGGGTGATGTGGTGGGACCCTCATTTTCAGCAGAAAAACTCTCCTATACTAATTGTCAAGAACCCACTGAGCACGTCGCTGCGTCCTTCACGCAGAAGCAAAGCCTGTACTGACCGGTCCGGGACACCTGATGACCGCGAATGTTGAGCTTTTGTCTCTCATAACCTCTCATAGCAAACCCCTGCGTAAACCCAGTTCCCGTGTCATTTTCCATTNNTTGATTCTCCATTATTGGGGTGATGATCGGTAGAACGGGAATTTCTCACGATCGCGGGTCTTCGGGATCTTGAGGTTGGGTCTGAGGTTTCCGAATTCCTTGGGTGCGTGTCAAGCCCCTTTTGGGGCACCTCCAATCAGGATCAAACAAACACATTTGCGGATTATGCAGGTGAGCCTGGCATCTCCAAACAGTTCGTATCTATGTAGCGCTCCCCTGGTAATGAGAGGACATGGATGGTAGCTCCCTGGAAAGGGCTGCTGATTTTTGGGAGGTTCGCGGTCGTATTAGCATCAGCAACTGCAGGCTTAAACGGCCCTGTCCTAGAAAGCCCAACAACAACAATGCTAGAAAGATCTAGAAAGTCCTCAGCAACCCTATCTATTCCAATAGTTCAACCCTTAAATAGTAGTTTCCATTTTCTTTTCCATTATCCCTATATAACCCGTATATAACCCTAGATAATCCCCTATGTAAAATAATTTCATTCCAGCTCCACACAAAGCTCCAAGTGGCTTCAGGCGGCCCGAAGTTGTAGGTCTTCTGCGTGAAGGATGACCTGGGGAGCTGCACAAAGCCAAAAGAATGTCCTCGCTTGCCAGGGGTCCCTATCTTTCGGAGTCTGCGGGGGATCCATTTCAATACCAAATCTTGAAAACTACACCTTGTTTATGTCGAGGACTAGATCTGCAGAAACGGGGCAGTCATGCAGCGTTTGTCATGAAATCCCGCAATCTAGTAGGTGACCCAAAGCCAACTGGGCAGGCTGCGAGGGGATCTCTGCCGTGGGGTTCTTCTCCAGGCCCACTTGGAAAGCGACGCCAGGCTGCCAGGGTAATGGCTAAACAGTCAGCTAGCCCAAGGTCTGGTACAAAATCGACATGAGTGTATACGCGCTCCTTTTTCATTGCAAAACGGCATAAAAGCATTCAATTCATTGCCTGCCCACAGCTGTGCTCCATCGGTATGATTGCCAGTTTGTTGCCCGGCAGCAGGCCATTCCCCATGATCTTCACCTCCCAGGCTGCGGAGCAGTGTTTAAGGTATCTGGCTTGTGAAGTGCAGCCTACTTGCATTTTCCTTCACAGGCAGCACTGGTTGGCCCTGCTTCCCCATAATATGCGTTCTTGGAAGCCTCACTCTGTCAAACAAAGCTACCTGTTGCGCAGTTTATCGCGTACATCTTTTTGGGCTTAGGAATCAACGCTTTGTGGAATCCAAAGCCTGCGAGACTTTTTCATTTGCTCCCTTGCATGCGCCTCACAGGGAAATCCGTTCGTGCAATAGCCTTCGTGGTGGACGCTTGGACCTAAGCTCAGGTGTCAGGATACCTTGCACGCCTCAGCACGCCTGAGGCTTTCAGTTCCAGGTGCAGGGTTTCTTGCTGTTTCTTGAGTTTTGGGGAATTTGCCGGGAAGGCTTCAGCAATCACTAGCATGCCTGTGTAAGACTGTCGGTGGTTGGTCGGAATACTTGCTCCCAAACTGACCAGTACCAAAACGATTTTTGCTTTTAGTAGACCCGCTGGCATTTGAGCTGTGGGATTCGGTTTGAAGGCTTGGGTTTGTGCTGCTCACAAACAACGCAATGACCGCATGCCACCCTCCCTGATGCCTAGTAGCCAAAGAGAAGGGAATGCTAAGGAGGAACTTAGCCCCTACATTGCAAGGGATTTAATGGACTGGTGAAGGGATCCAACCCCATCATTCATTCCCTAGCAAAAGAATGCTTGTCGCAAGGTCTTGTTGGATCGAGACCGCGGCCGATCTGGCTGAAGATTAAGCGGATGCGGTTGTTCCCGGAGTCTGCTACGTAGACGTCCTGCAAGGTCGGCCGCCAGAGACTCAGCGAGTTTTCCTCTGTACACTTAGGGTTTGTACCCTTGGGTTTGGGCCCCGAAACCATGGAATATGGACCTAAATAAGGGTATCTGGGTTCCAACACCTAGGGTTACAAACACTAAGGGTACAAACTTAAAGTCTTTGAGAGACAAATTGGGTGTGTCTCGGAGGCTAGGATCCTCATTACACGGACCCCAACTGAAAATGCTGGGAAACTTCCTGTGAAGATGCACCGCTGCCCTCGTGGCTTGCACATATCTGAAAAGAAGTGAAGACAAACTGCCAAATCAGCCAGGAACATTGCTGAGAAACCTGCAAGTCGCAGTGAAAGAGGTAGACTTGGGTTGCGAAGCGTAAGCAGGCAGCTCTCACCCTTGAAAGCTGTTGCTGTCGTAACTTCCAGAGTGGTGAGGACTGACTCGAACAAGACGACTGTTCAAGCTCGCGTCTTGCCCTGGCCTTCGTCATCGGATTCACGCCAAGGCCGCTGGGCCTAGGGCTCTGCAGTTTGAAGCTCGGGAGTTGCTCCTGCTCTTGAATTTTCAGATCTGAAAAACTCGTGCTATGTATGTGCTATGGACCATGTGGGTTCCTAGAAATATTCGGGGATTCTTCTTGGGATTGAGCAACTCCCATGGAACAAGGAAATGTAGCACTGCTCGACATGCTGAAGTGCGAAACCTTACATGATTAACATTACCCGATCCTAGCTCCTAATTACTCTGCACACCTGGTCACCTCCGCTGTGAGTTCCGTATGATATTCCACCGATGTGTTTGTAAGCCTGGCACAGTCTAGGCTGAGCCCAGTGCCGGTTGAGTTGCGTGATCCATGCGCTGCCTGCAGGCGCATGCCCTACCATCCAAAACTTAAGGGACACGGAGCAAAAGCAAAGTTAGCTTTCTATGCACATACGTGTCCTTTCTGGATACTTAGGTCCTAGGTTATGTGTACATTCTACATGCTGCACATCTCGAAAAATAGGTGCCCCAATCCAGCAATAGATGGAGCATTAAAAATCATCCTTCTTACTGGGAGTTAGTAAGGAATAACGGAATAGAATCCTTATAGAAGGCCTATATCATACATGAAATATTCCCTGATTCCCTACTTGGCCGTTTCCGAAAATAAGGGGGACCCCGATTTAGACCTCAAAATACTATAATCCTGAATATTGGGACCCCTAAAAAAAATACCCCTAATTTTGGGAAACCCCCACTTACCCCCAAAAAGCTTTTCTGAGGCGCCAACCTTGATCACCTCCAAAGCCAGCTTGTGACTCTCGCCCAGCCATGACGTAAACCTAAGGTTTGTGTGGAAAACCCCAATTCTTTTTAAACCCCAATATAAACCCAAAAGTACCCCAACATAACCCCAATATAACCCCAATGCTACCCCAATACGTGATACACCCAGCTTCCATTTCAGTATCAAATTTGGTTTCAATTTGATTCTCCTTTACCGGGGCCATCGGCTCGCATTCAATTCTTTGCTGCTCGAAGTTTCAGACTTCAAACGGCCTATGGCTCTTGTAGGTGATTTCTCGGAAGCTTCCCCGAGTCGGGGTCTCCTCTTTCACAGAGCAACCCAGCTGACCTAGCTGTAAACATTGCAGGAACCGCGTTCCAGGCTCCTTCACCGACTACCCCCTAGGTCTGTACCAGATAGACGCTTTTGAAAGAAAGCCCCTCTGAGTGACCGACCAAGCCCTGCAGCTGAGTCATCATGCCTTGACGTGCAAACCTGAAGCAGGCATGTGAACGGGTTAAGTTCTAGGGTTGCTCAAGGTCAGAATCTTCCCTCCCGGATGCTTAAGCCCAAGATTACGGATTGCTCGCAACTGAGCTCCCTGGATCCAAAGTGTCATCCACTGCTTGGGACTGATGACGACAGCTTGCTACGCACACGCAGGTTCAGCTAAAAACTGGATCGTAGATTGCAACATTTTGTCCATTGCATTTTCCACTTTTGTTTACATTTGATAGTCCATTATTATTACACATCGGTAATAATTCAATTTGATCATTTTGCTCGCCCAGCTCTTCTCCCTGACCCCAATGCTCCCAGTCTCCGAAGGAGATGTAAGGTTCAGGGGTTAAGGTTCTCGAAAACAGTAAACCTTATGCCCCAAATAACCTTATATAGTCTCAATATAATATCTTCCCTGTATAACCCCTATATTCCCCCCACACACCCCCCCCCCCTCCCACTTTTGAACATTCTGGCCTGTACACCGAGTTGTCTCGAGCTCCACCCTTGCCCTGATCGCAGGAGGTCGAGGAGCCTTCGAACCTGACACTGCCACTGATTCTGCAGCTACAGTACCGGGCAAGGGGTTATATAAGGGTGATATAGGGGTCACATTGGGATAATGGAAAATAACATGGAAACTACTTTTGAGGGTTTAGGGTTGACAGCATATCTGCTGAAACTGAAGTGGAATCACCGACTGCCAGTACTGTAAGTACTACTCTCGGATAGAAGGCTTCCTGTTCTGGGGACCCCGAAAATTAGACCCACTGCTTCCAGAAGCGCAACCTTGGTGGCAACGGACCTTCATTGTTTCAAAGCCACTCAAACAAACATGTCAAGTTGATAACTTTTGTCCAATGCAGCAGCTGCAGGGGAATAGTAAGCAAACAAGTGATAAGAGTCATCAAAGCAAAGAAAAAGCAAGGAATGCAGACTAGTCGGACACTGGCTTTGTAGGACGTGTTCAAGTGTACAAGCATCACCTGCAAAATCTTGCAGAACACATATTCAGCTGGAATCTCAAGTTTCTCTTTGAAGGCCATACACCCTCCACCCAAAAGCATATACCCCTAGCCCCAAACCGAGCATCTGAACCCTAAGCCCAAAACCCATACACAATTTCAAGTTCAGGGTGAGCGTAAATAAATTCCCAAGGTAATCTCAAAGTCTCCAAACTTGGGCTAAGGCCGGAAGTAGAGATGAGCATCCTACCCGCAGGTCACGACATACATACACATGCACGTGTGTATGTGTACATACATATATATGTATATACATGTGCATATGTATGGGGATAACCAAAAAAATAGTTAGGGGCACTAGCATATGTGATTTTGTATATGTAACATGTACTAAAAGCTAATAAGTAAGTGCTTGTGTCATGGGCTCCCCTGTTCACTGCCCATACTATCCTCCCAGGTTCACTCTTAGGTAGCCGTACTTAGCCCTAAATATCCTTTTAAGTAACCCCAATTTCACAAAGGGGAGCAGCGAGGGGTCACGATATGGGGCTTTGTAGGCAACGCATGAATGATTGTATGTACCATACTGCAATATGAGGCAGCTGTGGCGTTTACAGCATGGGGCCTACGCGGGTCAGGCAATCAATTGGGAGGAAAGATTCGAGGATTCGATCTATCCGGGAAAGTGACCAACAACATTCCAAGTTCTGAATCCAGTGAATACCCGCGCTTGACATCTCTCTTTGGTCGTGTCTATCTGCCAGAGCATCAGGTCAAAGCTAGGCAGAGCAAGCGGTATGAGTTCTGCTGCTATCAGGTAAGCGAACCGCTGCCACCAGCCATGTGTTCCTGACATTTCTTGTGGCCTCGTTGACCCGTGAAATTCGAGACCTGCACCCCTACATGCCTACCATAAGCGTCCTTCGAGGTTGCGCACAGCCCCATCTGGCGAATGGCGAAGACCTCGTATCCGAGGCGCATTGTCGCCAACGCACACCTTAGCAAGAAGCTGACTGCAACAGGAATGCAGGCACTACCGCAGTTGTCCAAGCCGACATCTCCTGACACTGCCTTTCAAGCACACACTGAGATGTCCGACGCCGTGATGGCGGCCGGCCTATTCTCGGGGATGCCCTGGCATCACGAAGGACTTGTCAGACACTACAAATTCCTAATGCTCGCGCAAACAGATCAACAGTCGGCGTGCTCTGCCATGACCACAAATGAAAACATATTTGACCGCACCAACGAGAGCGAGTTCGTCACTTTAGCTCGTCGGTGAGTTTCAGTTGCCGCATGCGCGTCTCTTAGGTTCAAGGTGCACGGAGATACCCGCGCCAGAATGTTTTGCTGTGTATATAATATAACTGCAGCTCTACAAGGATTCTGGTGCGGGATGCTTCACGAACGGATGGTGCCTGCAGATAGTCGATGCCGTAGGGAAGCGGCTGCCCTGAGCAGAAGGTAGTTGAAAGCTCAGATGCCAGAGCATGTTGCCTCAAATTGCAGATCCATGCCGGACAGATTGGATAATTGGTTTGCTGGTGCAGCCGGCGGCCAAAGCAAAGTGGAACACAGAAACCTGGAACTTTTAGTTGACCCACCCAGGTGGACAGTGGAGCGAGGCTGTGTTGCAACATGTTGCAAGCCTGTGCCGCTTGCATGCTCATGCAAAGACCTTACTGAAGGAGCTTTGCCAGCTCCGACAGCGGTTTGAGGACTCGCTTTGGGGCGCATGAACTGGTAGCGGGAATCAACTAACAATCCGGGCCTTCAATGCTTGGAATCCATGGCGACTCAATGTTCTCGCGCCAGCAGCCCATGGAGACGTATTCCAAGGCAGGCCTCAACAAGCAAGGGAACCAACAAAGCAAAGAAACAAAAATGCTGAAACCAACAGTTCGAGACGGTAACGTAGCACAAAGTGCGTCGCAACCAATCCATACACCAGGTGCTTTGCACAAGAAGGCTGTCTGGCACTTCAGCACGGGCACAGACGCCACAGGATTCACACTGAACACCACGCGTTTGAACAACCTACTGCTGCTCGCAGAGATAAAGATGGTGAGAAAGTAGATCATCGTGACCATGCTTTATTCCAATCACCACGCTGGAAGGCAATGGAACCAAGCGGCATCATCAACAGCCGATGGTTCCCAGAGTCGCTCAGGTAGACCACCCCTGCAAGGGTCAGTCCCTTGTTGACGGTGGGAAGAGGCCTTTAGAAATACATACTCGCATAAGCTTAGCCAACTGCAATCGGCTCCCTACATCCTTCAGGGTTGAGAAGCTGAGCTTCTTTAGGATGGGTCAGGGATCACATGATGCAGGGTCTTCTCTACACTTCTGTGAGTTTATTCCTAACATGAAAACAGTGTAGAAACTGCGACAGAATGAACCATCAAAAAAACAAGGGGAAAAGCCTGTAAAAACGCGCTCTCAAATGACTCCAGGAAGAAGTCCTTCCTCGAACCTTCTCCAAAGCCAGGCAACAGGTTTTGGGCCTATCCTGGAACAACTAGAACTAGCTGCTACCGAGGACGCACTTCTCCACATAGCAGAGGCTGTACAGCAAGTAGGTGTCAAGGAATGGCTATGACATTGCTATGTTTTTTAATCACTAGTCTCAAAAAAGGTTCCCACATAACAGGTTTTTAAAACATGTATCCAAGCTTGAGCGCCTGCATCTGTGGCCACACCCGTGGGGTTGGAGAGCTCGGCATTGGGGGCTTCAAGCGGTGCCGCCTCCTGCGCGGTTTCAGACTCACATGTATAACGTCTAGAGGGATGCACTTGGCTGCTAGTAAAGGTCTAAATTCCTGCGCAAGCTGGCTAGTCCAAAATCAGAAACTTGACCAGGACCCCGCCCTGCCTTGATGTTGTCACCCTGCTGACCCGAGCCAGCAAGCCTGAATGGAACGACGCTGCTTGAAAAGCTGGTACATACTGAATCATCTCCTTCACTGCCATTAGAAGGTGCAAGTGACAACTTAGATGGGCTGTTGTTGAAACGTGGGACACCAGAGAAGCCTCCGGTTCTTAGTGCGAGCTTGCGAAAGCTACAAGGCCTAATCCCTGAAGTGCAGGCAGGGCAGCGTGTTGATGACCCCGAGATAGCTCTGGAACTCCAGCGACATGGACCGTACCTCGACATGCAAATGTTTTGCCTGCTGCCCTCCTTCTATCCACAATAACTGTGCCAAGTTATCAACATGGGGTGTCAGGTCACCTGCTGGCCAGAGCTTTCAGAGATGTAGACATTGACCGGCAAAGTGCCGTCCTTCAACGGGCCAGAAGCAAAGCAGCTCAGCTTGCAGACAAAGCTGGCGGTGAGTTCGTGCGTGTGAGTATGACTCTGGCAGACACGCGCCACATCTCTGCACATCATGTGAAACCAGCGCTCCTCGTTGCTGACAAAGGCTGACGACACAGCAACCCCGGACGGCGTCTGCCAACAGGGCTGCTGACACAAAGAAGCGCAGCGAAGCAAGCGCTTGACTGACATTCTGCTCTAAAATCTCTAAAACGCCTGCTGCACTCGCCACAGATCTGACCCTGCAGCCCTTGGAGCCTGCAGTCGCGCCAGCCAGGCAACACCACCATCGCCCTTCCCCTGGGCTTGGCCAGAAGATCCCCCTGCAGCGGTGAGGATCACATTGGATTGGAACTCGTTGGTGCCTGACAGCTTATTGCTCAGTTGACCAGAGGAGGGGCGGGTGCGTTCACTACTCATGAACAGGCACCTGCGACATAAGTTGATACTGGCCCTCCGCAAGGCAAAGGCCTGGAATCCTGACTGGAATCTCCATGGACACAACGCGGAGAACGTTGTTGCCACTATCGCCTAAGAGCAGCCAACTGCCAAGCGGATTGCAACCAATGAAAGTGGACGGGACTGAAACCCGTTGTACACAGGATGACTCAAGAACACACTGGTGGCCATTATGCTTCACCTCCATTCAGCTAATTTGTGGCGAGCAGCAGATCCACAGCATCTGATTCCTGCAAAGCGCAGGCTCTCAAGAAACCTTGCGCTCCTTGTACGACGAACTGCAAGCTTGTTTCTGGAGCCCCAATAAGCATTGCAACAAGTATGTGAGGATTGTCATCTAGCAGTAGCAACCCTCCTTCTTGAAAGCTTGCAATTGGGGGCTGTGCTGGGCGACCCTGAAAGCTTGCTTCGCATCACAAGCAATACCAAAAGCCTGCAATCTCATGTCACAACCTTGAACATCAAGTCGCTTTTGGTCTCCATGCTTTCGTCACCTCCTTTTCCACACTACGCCTGTCTTCTTCAACCCTCCTTCCACAAACTTTGCCTGCTCCAAACTGCAGGTTTGGCAAATTGAAGGATCTAAGGTAAGAGGCACGCATTTCTGGCAACCTTCGACTGGCATTCTACAAAGGCAAAGTACAGAGAAATATCGTCCAAGCCCTTGCTACAAAGCCAGATATGCCCCAGATAAAGCAGGTTAACGGAAAAAGGAAAGTCGAAAACAGCTCACGTGGTGTACTGGGCCCGCGACAGGTCTACAGCAACACCAGTGGGACCATTGAGCTGCGCCTGGCGAGAGGCGCACATTCAGGCTCCAAAAACACAATGTCAAAGTTGCTCACAAGTGATTTCCAGCATGCATGCAGAACATGGTCGTTGGTCCAAGAGTACCAGCCTCAAGCGCAGGCCCACCGTCTCCGGAGAAACCGCGGAAGCCATTGCCCGCTATGGTCTCAATGATGCCTTGAAAGCACACTATTCTGAGCAAAGTATCGCAAGGGGGTGGTGTAAACAAAGCAGCCGCGCGTGACGGACAGGGGGCACAGGGGCTTTCATACAAATCTTCTCAAGCAAGGGCACATGGCACTTTCCTCCCTCAAGAAATCCATCATCAGTCCTGCCTCGATTGAGTGGGTCCCTCGTCAACTCAATCCGTCGAACACGGTCACTGCCGTAGTCCGCGATGAACAGTGACCTGGTTGAAGGCAGATACATAGGCAAGGTGTCGGACTTACGATTCGCAGTCTACATAAGTTGGTTGGCATGGCAATGATGGAGTTTCCGTGAAACGCCCCTCAAGTTCCTGTACAAGATGGGCACAACAACGCGCTGGCAGGATCTACAAACCCAACCCTGCCAATCCTTGAAAACCTAGGAGTGGGTGTCAAGCGCTTGGCTGCTGTTACCATCTCCATGGATCGGTCAGGGATTTGGACCGCGATGCACTAAGCCTCTCTTTCATGCACACCGGCCTCCTATCCCGCCCACGCATACCAAAAAAATATTGACCGCTGTGTCTGTCTTTGGCATCTGAAACACGCCAGGAGGCGTTTGATCCCGATTCAAGGCGAGGCCCATTGGGGACGAGAGCTGTGCATTGATGGCAGAGCCATAGTCCCCTGCAAGGTAAGTCGAGGGCTCTGAGACCGCAAAGGTCTAGTAAAGAACCCTCATTGACTCTCGTTGGCACTAGCCAACAGACCCAGATGTTCATCATCTTAGTCTGACAGACGCAATCAGAGCAAGGCTGGGCTACCTGCCAATCAGCTGCACCCATGAGTATGATACCAGGTCTTATCTCCTGAAGAAACACGAAAAGCTTCTGATGCCGAGGGCGGAGCAAGCTCACCATCCCAAGCAACATTACCCACTTAAATCCCATCATCTTCACCGTTGTGATGCTGCGTTCAGTCGAGACGGGGATTCAAAAGAATGCCCATGTAAGACTCCAGCTTGCTCCATGTGGTCCTTCTTTGTTTTGTTTACTAGCGTGGCGGCGCTGTTCCTAAGCACAGGCCTTGGTTGCTCTCTCTCTCTCTCTCTGCCGGCATGCGGACGCAAAGCCCCCGCGTCGGTGCGCCGGTCACAGGTGAGGGCACTCAGGGTGAACATGACAGATAGGATTAGAATTGGCTGCTCTTGCTTCTTCTCTTATACTCAGCAAAGTCTACTAGATAGCAAAGACAAGCTTGATCCCTAACCCTTGCAATAGGCAGCTGGTATGCAGAGATTCTTGCAGTTCTACGGCCTCAAAGATCGTACGTTATTCACAACCCGGCTTTCCAAGCCTCTCGTGCCAGGGAAGAACTGTCCTGCAAGCCGATAGACGCGACCTTACAAGCAGGAACCATGACTAGAGCTGCATGATAGGGTCCAGACTGTCTAGGTGGTCTTGCTCAAGCACTGTCACACACTGTCACTGTCAGGCCGCCTCAAACTCTAAAGATCCCTTGCTGAAGCCCTACACAACTTTCAGCCTAACAACTGCATTTCTTCTACTGGTTCCCAGAAACAAAGCTATAAAACCTCCTTTTATCCGGTCTTTTCATAATCTCCCATGGGAAGCCCCTCACTCCCTACTGAGCACGAGCATGACGCAGTCTTGCCGCGGCTAAGGGGCCTTGCTCAATGTCCAGGTAGCGCAACATATGTGAGCCCCGCTCAGTAAAGAACGCACGCTGATTGGAGATGGCTATTCCTTGGTTGAGGGTTTTGGGACCTTGACTTGCAGGGTTGTGGTTTCATGGGAGGAGATTCAGCACCCAGAGCCTGAGATTTAGGGTCAAAGCTCAAGGGTGTCGGTTTTGGAGGTCCTAGGGATTTAGATTTCCAGTTTGGGGCTTTCTGGTTTAGGAATTTAGCTATTTGAATAGGGCTTGGGTCGGAGAAGTGGTAACCTGATGAATAGCAGTAGCCTTTGGCATGATTCCAGAAGAAGGATGAACCCCGTTGAACCTGTTTTCCGATTGTCCGGCAAGGCAGACGTGGAAGCCTGTAAGATCCACGCAACGAGTCCTGGAAATCTGCCGAGCCCATTATTGATGAGTCCTGACAACCAACCGAGCATGAGGAAACCAGCGAGCCCCTTTTTGATGAGTCTTGAAAACCAGCCGAACCCAAGTTTGATCACTGTTGAAAACCAGGCCAAACCTATTTTTGATGTGTTTTGAAACTCTCTTTGATGACTTTTGACAACCATCGAACCTGCTTTTGATGAGTCTTGAAAACCAGCCGGACCGAACCTGCTTTTGAGGAGTCTTGAAAACCAGCCGAACCTGTATTTCAATGGTCTTGAAAACAAGCCAAACCCATGTTTGAGCTGCTCTTGAGCAGAAAAGTTTCGGCAAATCATGGTAGCAATATAGGGGTACATAGGAACTGAATGGGGATTCTATTGGGACCTGTATAAGGCTATTGCCTATGGCGTTCTTAGTGAGTACTGAGGATCTTTAAGTTTTTTGCCGAACAGCCATGAATTCCGTTCCATAAAACTCCACCCTCCTTTCAAACCCTCGAATGTCCAACACAAAAGTCTTACACAGTGAGGGAACAGAAGGAGCTCTTCTGGGTCAAGCACAAGGGTTTCCTGTGCTCCCTTTAGGGTCATCGAAGTAATCAAGCAATCGTCTCGCTCGGGCGGCCATCTCAGCATCAGCGCTTGTGGAGCTACCCATAAGTCAACGAGGAAACTTCCTCAAGCCCTCCTCCCTCAATTTCGGCTGCCTAGTCGAGGACTAGCCCTGAACTTGAAAGCTTCAGATCAGACTTGTTTTTTCTGCTATTGCAACCATTGTTACACAAGTTCAGGCAGCCTAGGTGCACAAGAACCCACTAAACAGAACGAAAAACTCACGCGCGTCCGAGGGACCGTAAGGGTCGCTCAAAGGAGTCAAGACTCCAGGATCCCCTTCCTGGATTTCGGTCGAAAACAGGAACTTAGGGTTAATGTAATATGTTATAATGGATTATAGTAGATTATAATATATTATAGTATACTATAGTAATTAGATTATCGTATGTTATGGCGTATCATAGTATGATCTTGAAGGGCTACAGATTTGCCATCTGGTGCTCAAACTTTTAGATTGACGCCGTCAGTCTCACAGGTCAGAATTTCAGTCTGGTAGCAGGCCCCAGTAATCAAGCCCCGTGCTTTCAAGGTAAGACAATTTAACAGAGTGTTGGTCTTCGGGGGCAAGAGCTTCAAACTTTCAATACAGACATCAGCAGGCCAGCGCACTTCCAGGTAAAGAAAGGGGCGAAGCAGATACCGTGCAAACCCGGATCAGGCATGTAAAACAAATGACCAGGATATAGTGCCGCTGCTACGGGCAAGAGAGATGAGAGTTTCCAAGAAGGCTAAACACTGCTCTTAACAAAATTCAGTGGCCAACCAGCGATGAGGAGCTAATGCATCTAAAGCAGAAGGAGTCGGCCGAGAGACTCGAGGCGCATCAATACAAGGGACTAACGAAACTTCTCTGAATCATGACCCCTTCTTGGACATTCTGATGTCATTGAAGGGCCCACAGTCTAGAAAGTCTTCGTCACAAAAACCCACTCGCGCCCCGATAGGATCTTCAAATTAATCTCAACCTGATCTGATCCGACCCTGTGAACCCTATACCATGGCTCTTGAAACCAAGCGAGCAAAAGTGCGCGCAACATATTTCTCCATATGTTTGGTGGGTCCTGGAAGAAGAACCCTATAAAGTCCTTCAGAATCTGGACACACTCCCCATTTTCAGATCATTTCAGAACAGCAAGATACTTTCCGACTGCTTTCTATCGTTATTCCTTGTGCTGTTCTCGCTACCACTACGATACACCATCGGTGGTGCTAGCACGGCCATTGCTAGCGCCAGTGTTTCCCGCATTAGTGCCAAGACCTGCTGAGGCATTCACGATAAATGGCCCGTCATGGCCCTAAACCAAGTGCTCATAGTCCTAGTGACGCGCAACCTGTTGTCATGTTACATCTTGGAGGGAGAAGTTGCACAAGGTCGCCAAGGCTCCACCATGTCAGTTGACCGGTTGGGCACCCGGCCGTCGCCCACCACTGTGAGCATTATTCCTTTTGAGCTTTTGATTTTGCGATGTTTCATAAAAGCTGTAGCAGGTTGAATTTTGGGTAATATCATCACAACTATAAAATAAAGTCTGTCTGATGACAACAGGATGTTCAACAGTGGACCCAGGCTCCATTTATGACCAGCGTGGCCACGTGCATTGAGAAATGCTCATCTTGGGTGCAGTCTCCGTCCCCACCGCACCAGCAGACTTTGTAGATACCCATACCTGATCTGAACGATGAGCCCTCTAAAGGGCAAAGAAGCCAAGTTGCCAAAGCCACAAGAAGAGTTGTGACTGCCCGGGGCTGCAAATCATAATGGCACAGGTCATGTGTGCATGCGTGGATATGCTCCCAGCCCACCCCTGTCTATCCTTTCAGCCTGCGCCCAGGCTCAAAATTCAGGAAAACCTCAGAAGATGACTTTGACGAGCCAATACATCCATCCATGCCTCCATCTCTTAGCCCGGAGTATCAGCTGCTGACGCACCCCGTATGGATGGTACACGTTGTGGAAAAGAAACATGTGACTTAACCTAGACTGACTGTTGCAGAGAGCAAGTCCCGAACCAAGGGGCGATTTATCTGGATGTTCTCCCATGTCTCTGACGAGGAGTCTCCGTGAGCGCCTCAGAAAGTGTTCGCTCAAAGGATCAAATCTGGTGAGAGAGCCCTGAATTTGCACAATCCTGACCCAAACAAAGACCCAAAGGTCTGGAGGCGGATGTTTACTACTGGCTAATTAGCGGCTGAGTTCTTCAGCTGATGACAGGACATCTTGGACACAGCTAGTTACAGAGGCTCCAATCAGCATCCATGAAAGAGGGAGGGGCATCCATATTGATCCGAATTGAACGTCAAGTAACAAGAAAGTATCACGCAGGAAAGCGACTAGTATCTTTATAGTTCATCAAAAACTGGGTGTCCAATCAGGGCCAGCAGGAATGTAGATCTGAACTTTGAAGAACCCCATTTCGAGGCCAAGGTCGCAGATTAGGCCAGCAATCGAACAATCTGAGCCCGCGACGCTGTCCCATTGGCGCAGTCAGTCTCAGAACGTCGTCATGCATGGTGGCACTGCCTTGCGCAAGCTCACGACCCAGAGTTGCTAGTCTTGCAACTTTCCCAGCTTAAGTAAGCCTGAACAAAGCTGTCTAAGCTAAGCTTGCTAGAAAACCATCTATTCCTCATCGAGGCCTTGCCTGCGAGTCCGCAAAGCACCGTGTCCGCCACAATGCGAATGCGGTCGTGCGGAGCAAGTGCGACGCCTGAAAAATTTCTCAACAAACTGAGATTTGCCATTCCGTCTTGGCCTTGCTATATCCACAAGAAAACGCGCGCTCTGACTACTCTGCAGAAGCCTTGCAGCTGCAAAGGCCACATGCCGCCAGCTGTCTGCAGAATGTGCCGGTTGCCGGACGGCCCCTCGGCAACGAGTCTTACAAGCTCGGTTCATGTTGTCACATTGGATTCTGTGTGCTTGTCAAACCCCAACCTCCTGACATGACTGCTTTGTGAGCAGCATGTGTGAGGAAACACCGGCGCCTTCGGGGTGACCTCAACTTCGCAGACCGACAGCGGCGCGACCATTGTCCCGGTCACTCGCAGCACCAGCCAGAGATAGCGGCCTTCATCTTAAGGTGGCTTAAGCTCGACGGATTCTGTTGCAAGGGATACTCTTCAAAAGCGTTAATGGGGTCACAGCATCGCCTTGATAACAGAACACTAGGAGGCCGCATAAAGAAAGTAACACGACAACAGAATTCATAATTGATGTCAATTGGCAAAGGGGAGCTTAAACCATAAATGCGTGACAGGCTCCAAGAACCGGACAATTTGCATGCGCTGAGAAAGCCAGCTTTGGCATCTCAGAAAATGTGCTGCACACAAGTGTGCCTGCATGAAAGAAACCAGAGAACGAGAGTTCTGTTGAATGGAAGGGAAGGCTGAGGGAAACAAAGCCTTTTCCAAACTTGCTGCCCGTTTCGCGGTCTGAACATTACTCATTCACAGGTGTCTGATTTCTATGAACCTTTTTATGAGTTTTGGGTGCTCGGACTTTCCTGCTGCTGCACTACTGCTGCTTCTGCTACTCCCTCCACCACCACCACCACCGCCGCCGCCGCCACCACCACCCCCGCCGCCACCACCGCCGCCACCGCCGCTGCTGCACCAGCGCCGCGACAACCACCGCCACCGCTACCGTCACCGTCACCACCACCGCCACCGCCACCACCACCGCCATCATCACCACCGCCACCACTGCCACCACCACCACCTCCACCTCCACCTCCACCACCAACACCACCACCACCAACAACAACACCACCAACAACAACAACAAAAAAAAAAAAAACTGCCGCTGCTGCTGCTGCTGCTGCTGCTGCTGCTGCTGCTGCTGCTGCTGCCGCTGCCGCCGCCTGTGCGGCAATGACTTTACTACAACTACAACTTGGACTAGGATGACGACTACGATGACGGCTGCGATTGCTACTACTACTCTAATAATCACTACTAGCACTTAGTACTGGCACTAGTACCACCACCACCACCACCACCACCACCACCACCACCACGACCACCACCACCACCACCACCACCACCACCACCACCACCACCATGACGACGACGACGACGACGACGACGACGACGACGACGACTACTACTACTACTACTGTCACGTATTACTATCATCATGTTGTTTTTCCCATCACGGACCGCAGCAGGCTGAGAGCCCGGCATCCA